GAGATCCATGACCTTGTCAGTTATGAGTTGGATGCAGTAGGGGATCCTGGGAAATTAAAAAGGGAGTAGGGATGGGGAAGGCTTGGGATGTCCTTGGTCTAGAGCCCACCTCTTGAAAGGTATTTACATATCTTACACATCTGGTTTTTCTTTCTTTCTTTCTTTCTTTCTTTCTTTCTTTCTCTCTTTCTTTCTTTCTTTTTTTTTTTTTTTTTAGTTTTTGAGACAAGGTCTTTCCAAGGCTTATAGCCCAGGCTACCCTTAATTTAAATCCTCTAGCCTCTACATTCCCAGGGCTGGGACTAACAGGCCTGCACCACCTCATCTCACCCAATGATATCACACGCTTTTATTTGTACAAAACCAAAGGTGATTAAACCAGATCGAGGCAGCCATGAACAAATTGAAAAGATGGACATTATCAAGTGTGGACAAGGGAGGAGAGCCACAGTTTACAGCCCTGGTGGAGATGAATCGGAATGATGGCTTCCCTCACCAGTGAAGAGGAAATTGTATGCTTCGAACATGCATGGGCATGCGCACACATACCACACACACACACACACACACACCACACACACACCACACACACACACACCTTGGAGGTAGTGATGGGAATGCATTCACCCCCGGAGCCCGTATGGCAGGCAGACAGCAGACACTTCGGGTCAGGATGGGGTTGTTCAGCTCCGTGCCCAGCTCACCCAGTGCTGGCTCATTTCCTCTGTCAGTCCCTGAATTCTGATGATCTGGATACATTTTTATTCCTGTGGCAGCTGAAAGCATGGCTTCGTGCTGGGTAAAGAATGCCATTCTCAAGTCCCTTCAAACATATGACCCTTCTGTTATGTGTGACTTCATTCACAGCATAAAAACCCATTTGCTCAGCACTTACTAGGACCACCATAAGTGGGAAAGGAGGCCTCTGTTGCCACAGGCCACCCCATGGTTGGACACCAGGTAAAGTCAAACATGAAGCAGAGAGGGAAGGAATCAGACAAGGTAATGAAACTATTAAAGATTTATTTTATTTTTAGTTGTGTGTGTGTGTGTGTGTGTGTGTGTGTGTGTGTACAATGCAGCTGGGTACAGAGGCCAGAAGAGATGTCAGCTTCCCCTGGAGCTGGAGTTACAGAAAGTTGTGAGCTGCCCAGTGTGGAAACTAGCAACAGAATCCAGGCCCTCTGTAAGAGCAATGCTCGTTCTTACCTGCTAAGCCCTCCCTCCTGTTCCCAAATGTACACAATTTCTAAGATGTGCAACAGAAACTACAGGCACAGCCTGAAATAAAATGAAAACTAATAATATTGAAGGAAGAAATCAATGCTCAACCTATTAGAAATGTAAAAACAAAATCCCCCCACACACACCCTTTATTTTAAAGAGAAAATCAAACTACAGCAACAGCATGTTTAGGAAGTTACGCTGGGAAAGCTACAGTGTCAGAACCCTGCTGGATGGGGCCAAGGCTGAGGCAAAACTAACCCTATCTGCAAGTGCCTCAGGGACTACCAATCAAGTAGTCTAGGAGGGAAACATAAAACTTCACATAGAAAAACAGGAAGAGGAAGGAAAGGTTGCTGATGAACCCAAGATTTATCACTCTCTGAAGGACAAAACAGAAAGTAAAGACCAGTGTTGAAGAGGAAAGAGCCAAGGGGAGCATAGATAGACGGTGGACAGTGAAGGCCAGTGAGCCGACTCAATGGGTAAAGTGGTCTGCTGCCAAGCCCAAAGGCATGAGCTCGATCCCTGGGACCCGAGTGGTAGGAGAGAACCAACTCTTACAGGTTGTCCTCTGACCTCCACATACGCCCTGTGGCACACGCATGCCCACACATAACACAGGTGCATACACATTTTTAAAAATGAAAGAAAAATGTACCCAAAGTGTTAAATTTAAAAGCATCACAAGGGATGATATCTGGGTGATGGCTGGTTAGTGGCGTTGGTGCCCATTCTGGGCAGACCTCACACAGACGGTGAGTTTCATGGTCACTGAATGCTTTACTTTCTCAGGGAAAGGATTAAAGTGAAAGTAGACTTGCTTGCGGTAGAATGTAACTTGAGCAACTGACCAAAGGACAGGGAGAGGAACTGGCTGGGAACCTGTTCCTTCCACTGTCAACTGACCAAAGGACAGGGAGAGGAACCGGCTGGGAACCCGCCCTTCCACTGGTTGTTTATTGTGTTTGCATTGTTCTCATCTGTCCGATCCAGGTAGGTGCTGGGGCTCAGACACAGGTCGTCAGGGTTAGGGTAACCCACTGAGCCATCTCTCCAGACCCTCCTTTTCTCCTTTTGATTCAGTCCAAGATCCCTAAGCCCACAGAATGGTGTTGCCCATGTTAGGGGGGGGCCCTTCCGACCTCAATAAATCTAACCCCTTAAGCCCCTCACAGACATGCCCAAAGGTCTGTGGCCTAGATCTTGTCAAGTTACAAGTCAATATAACCACCATAGAAGGGCTTTAAAAACTGGCTTTTTGCCAGGCACAGTGGAACACGATGTTAATCCCACCACTCAAGAGGCAGAGGAAGGAGAGTCTCTGTCAGTTCAATGACAACTGGGGCTACATAGAAATATCCAGTCTCAAAACAAACAAACAAACAAACAAACAATAACAAAAAACCCACCATAATAATTAATACAAAGACAAAAATGGCTTTTTTGCTGTCTTATTCCAACTAGGAGAGCTGGCAGAAGTCCATGGGACATCGGAGGCTCTTACGATGCTTTACCACTTTTCTCTGAACTGTTGAAAGCTCTGTGATTTTAAAAATAAACATCGTTTTTATTGGACATATTTATATGTGACCTATGTTCTAATATTTTATTAAAACTTACATCAGCATTTATAAGAGATTGGTGTGTTTTGGGGGTACATTTGTAAGTGCCTGTGTGCATGAAAAGAGGGATGGGGGACAGAGAGAGAGCAGATCTTGATTTACCTGGCTTTGTACGCTGACCAGAAGGGATTATACAGAGAGCCATGCTGAAGAGAAATTAAGCCCAACAAAAAGTAATGGCTTCAGGCTGCAGGACCCAGCTCTGGATGGAGAAATAAGAGACCCTGGGAATGCAGAGGCCCAAGGAGCAAGTGCCCAGACGGCGGTGGAAGCCACCATATACAGCTGGCTGTGACTTAGGCTGAGCCAACCAGAGGCGTGAGTTGAGTGGTGTGAGCCAGCTGCTGCTCACCTCACTGTGCGGCTGTGCTGGCTGGGTTTATGTCAACCTGATAGGGTCATCTGAGAGGAGGGAACCGCGATTTAAAAACTGCCTCCATGAGATCCAGCTGCAGGGCATCTTCTTAGTGAATGCTCGGGCAGGCCCAGCTCTTTGTGGGTGATGGCATCCCTGGGCCGGTGGACATGGGTTCTGTAAAAAAAAGCAGGCTGAGCAAGTCGGGAAGCAGCTCTTCCATAGCAGGCCTCTGCGGCAGCTCCTGCCTCCGGGCTCCTCCTCCCTGACAGCGCTGGCCTTAGAACAAATGGGCCTCTCACCAGGTTTCTGTCTCCTGAGCTGCAGAGATGGTTTCCTTCACCCAGGGAAGTGCAGTGGCTTGGCAGTTTGAAAGTCTGAAGGACCCCTCTCCCCAAGGATGTTTAGCCTGGAAAAAAAGGTCAAGGGAAGTGGAATTCTCTTGACTATGGGCTGCAGTGGGGCTGTGGAGCCTGCTGTGTGACACTCAGCAGCAGGGACAGATTGACCTTCACGGTCTTTGGTCATATGCATGCTCACAGGGGCATCAGGATGGGGGGATTCTCCTCAAAGTGCTCCGGGAGGCCCATCAGCCATACTTAGGCTACAGACTGCCCTGGTCCAGGCTGGTTTACCTCATAGAGCCACATGCATTTGCTCTCAGTTCCCAGCACTGGCCTGAGTTGGTAGCTAATTCTATGAGCCGAGTTGGAGTTTTTAGATGCAATTAGGAGTTAAATCCCTGGATGGTTCGGAGGTAAACGGCACCCGCTGCTTTTGCAGAGGATCCAAGGTTAGTTCCCAGTTTCCCACAAGGCAGCTCATCATTACCTGTAATTTCTGTTCCAGGGGATCTGACACCCTTTTCTGGCCTTCCTGGACACGCATATGGTTCACATACATATACATACATGCAGGCAAAACATTCATACTTATCAAATATTCTTAAAAATTTAAATTCCTCTGAACAAACATCTGTCTCCCATGGTATGCTGGATCTGCTCCAGTAGCTCAGGGCTGAACCCCCATCCAGGCAGCAGCGCCTGCAGCAGAGCCTGCAGCAGCGCCTGCAGCAGCAGCCTGCTCCCTACTGTGCACCTTCCCAGGTCTGTGTACCACCTTGCCAACAGTTCTGTGGAGCCCCTCGGGCAGCTACATCTGGATGTGTTATGGAATTACTGAGGTCAAAGATCCCACTTGCCCTTCAGTGGGGTGTCCTCCAGTTGCCCCTCAAAGGTAGCAGCTCTCAGTGCTGGTTACTCTGGAGCCTCTGGGTGTGTGTGCTAACTGCCTGACTCACCCACAGAGCCTGACTCTGAACAAGTGAAACACAAAGCCACACATGGCCTGATGTTATCTTGTTTTCTGAGCCCATCATACTGGGATCCAGAGGTACAGCCACCAGATCCACCACTCTAGGTGTGTGAGACCACTCTAGCCTGACCTTTCACAAGGGCAGGCTCAGACTGAGGGCTATGCAAGGCAGCCATCAAGCCTTCTGAGCAGATCAGTGGGCACAGTGCCCTCCAGTGGCCATTGGGAGCACTGCATGCTCCCACTTGAATTTCTCATCTGTAGGACAGATGGCCTGTCTTTTCTTCCGGCCTTCTCCTCTACCAAGGTGGGCAGTATCCAAGCGTGTGAAGTCTGTCAAGTGAAGGGACTGAGGTGCAGATCAGGATTCCCAGTCTCAGAAATCCATCAAAGAGGCCTTTGCCTAGCACAACACGCAGACCGGTGGGAAGGGTGACTGAAAAAAGATACACAGGCTGCTGCAGCAAAGTCAGCACACACACTTTTTCTGTGTGAACCAATTCATGAGTGTTTATTTGGCTACCATCACCATCACCAGCCTTTGGGCTCTGGCCCTGCCTCCTCTGCGCACGGGTACCCAGCCACAGCAGGCCTCAGGCAGACTTGGAAGTGTCATCAGGGACGAGGATTTGGGTATCTCCTTCATGCTCCTCAAGCCTGGGTCTTTTCAGTTCAGGAGGCTCATCTTGGGGCTCTCCAGGAATCTCTGAAATGTTAACAGACGTAAGGTTAGCAAGCAGTGAAGGCTTCTGTGAGTCAGGGTGACATGAAGAACAGAGGCAAAAAAGAGGTGCGAATGGCCCGGTGAACCGCTATGAGGAACTGATCCACACAGCTGGTTCTCAGCTGAGGTGACTGCATGTCAAGAGACGGGCAACGTCTGTGACAGCTGAGGATGTGACAGGGTAAGAGGTGGCATCAGCATTTGAGAGCACTGTTCTTCCAAAGGACCTGAGTTCAGTTCCCAGCACACATATGGCAGCTCACAACCATCTGTAATTCCATTTCCAGGGGATCTGAACAGACATACACGCAGGCAAAACACCAAAAAAATTTTTTTTTAAAAAAGTGGCACCAGGGATGTTATTAATCCCCCTTACAATACTAGTCCCTCCACCTCTACACCTGATAAACACCAGCTGTTGTGAAGTGGGGAGACCCATCCCTCCAGAAACTGCTGCTGCTCAGTGCACAGGGTCACTTTTCCCTGCCAAGTCAAACTGCCACCAGTATGTCCAAAGGACGGTCCCAAAAAGACACACTCTGGCCTTCCCAGAGCTGACCTAAAATCAGGAGGGTTAGCTTCCAAAAGAACACACTTCCAATCCCTCCCTTACCTGGCTGGACCTCTTCTGTGGAGGGGGTGGTCCCGTTATTGGGCAGTGGATTTGGCACAGTGTCTGCCTTCAACGGTGTTAAATTTATTCTCCTGGATTAAAAGAAGTAAAAGGTTGGACTGCTTGCTAGCATCAAAGGAGCTGTTCAGGTACAAAGCCAAGGTTCAAAGCAGCAAAGAAAGAACACTCATTTCCCTAGAGAGCATATCCCGCAGGGCCTTAAATGTCGTGCTGCCTGCCCAGAAAAGGCAGTGTTCTGACGGGAGGCTCCGCATCACAGTTCACAGTCAACGGTCACCATACCCGGTCACATTCAAGAGCTGAGCTCTGCTGATTAGGAGTCTGGTGCATACCTTGCTGAATGCGGACTGAAAACACACACAATCTCTTTTAGATTTGGAATTTTGCTTCCCAACAACCAGTGTCTTCTTTTTAAAGTTATAACTCAGGGGGAAGGTAGGTGAGTGTGTGTGTGTGTGTGTGTTTGTTTTTTTTGGGTTTTTTTTTGGTTTTTTGAGACAGGGTTTCTCTGTGTAGACCAGGCTGGCCTCGAACTCAGAAATCCGCCTGCCTGTGCCTCCCAAGTGCTGGGATTAAAGGCGTGCACCACCACCACCTGGCTGTGTGTGTGTGTGTGTGTGTGTGTGTGTGTGTGTGTGTGTGTGTGTGTTTTGAAACAGGGTCTTATCACATAGCTGTAGCTATCTTGGAACTCATTTTCTAGAGAAGATTGGCCTTGAACTCTCAGAGATCTGCTTGCTTCTGCCTCCCTGAGTGCTGGAGCTAAAGGCTGTCCTGGAACTCACTCTGTAGACCAGGCTGGCCTCGAACTCAGAAATCCACCTGCCTCTGCCTCCCAAGTGCTGGGATTAAAGGCGTGCACCACCACCGCCCAGCTAGGGCTACATATTGAAAAAAAAAAAAAAACCTATCTCAAAAAAAAAAAATGTATCCCAACCACAAAATTAATTCATTGCTACTTAACTGCAATTTTGCTGTTAAGAACTGTAATGTAAAGTATCTGATACACAGGATTATCTGACACGTGACCCCTGTGGGGTCCTGACCTGTATGTAGGCTGAGAACCACTGGTCTAGGAGATGATGTTAAGTCACTGAGGGTGCCCTGAAAGGGGGTCACTGGGACACTGGTTCCTTCTTCCCCATGCTACCCTCCTGTCCATGAGGTAAACATGCCTAACACATATTCCTTTGCCTTACACACCTACCACCCTGTACCTGCTGGCACAGGCCCAGAGCAGTGAGACAATTAACTGTGGAACCTGTAAGGCAAAGTAAGGCTTTCCTCCTTTTAAGTTGATTACGTCAGGCATTTAGTCACCCTGTCAGAAAGCCTTCCAATGCAGTGTTCCCATGATTTCCTACATGGTAGGTGTCTGGTGCCACTGAGCGGGACTGAGCTGAAAAGGGGGAGCACTTCCTGTCCTGTAGGGCTACAACCCAAGAGGACACAAACCCCTGTCAGACAATACTATGAGGGCCAGGGGTCACAGTGACCACCAGGAAGAGAGAAGACACATTCAACTGGGTCTCAGGAGGATTCTATGTCACCAGGACTATGTATCCAAGGCTTCCTTCCCTCAGGAAGCAGGCATGGAGCCCTCAAAGGGCAGAGTGTGCTCTGGGAACGTGTCAGGGGAGTTGGGAGACAAGACTTTAAAAAGTCCTAGGACCTGATAGCATCCCATCTAGCACACGGAATCATGGGAAGATGCTAGGCTTCACCCCTAGGTAGGAATGCAGGTCCAGAAAGAAGGAGGTGGAACCTTCAATATTTGCTATGTTGGGGCCCATTTCACAGCGACACTCTTGTTTTATCAAATGCTCTTACCGAGGGGCTATCTTGCCCCAAGTCTGCAGCGTGTTCAGCGTGATCCTGCGGGGTTGGGGGGCTTTCATGTTTTGACTAGAAGGCTGTAGAGTCTTCTCCTCAGAAGGCCTTGGCAAGGAGCTTTTGCCAGCTGGGATAGCTGAGGGACTGTCCTTGACAGCAGACAGAGCTGGAGACTGTGTGGTTGGTGAGGGGGTGGTACAGGGGCTGCTGGGGTCTTGGATTCTGTTGCTGGGAGTTCCTTCGACTGATCTGGATCCTGGCGAAGATCCCTGGTGTGTCTGGTTCTTGGTTTTCTTTGCTGTGTCAGGAGTTCTTATGCTCAAGACTGGCTTCTCTTTCAAAGGTACGCCAAGTTCTCCTTTCTCAAAGGTCACAAATGAGCAATAACCATCTGTGGAGGAAACAGCCAAGAAGGCCCCATCGCTGGACCTGTGTCCCCAGAACAAGAAAGAAGTCAGAGGTTTCACAGATATCTATGGAGCACACTTTACCCTTCCATGGCCAGTCAGGAAGCTGGCACCAACCTCGGGTTTTTCTTGATCTCTGTACCCTCCTCTCAACTTAAATCTGTCCCAACATAAAAAATAAATCTGAGGCCAGTCGGTATGGGTGCCTTCTGTCCAAGCCTGGTGTCAAAACTCCACTCCTGGGTGTCATGTGAGGTGACCGGAGAGCCGACCCCAGACAGTTGTCCTCTGACCTCCATGTGTGAGCCATAGCACATGCACCACCCCCACACATACACAAACTAAATAAAAATATTTATATAAAGAAATTTCAAGAAAAACAAGGAACCTACAGAGGTACTGCAGTTGGTAGAGCTCTTACCTAGTGTGCACGAGACCCTGGGTTCAGTGCCAAGCGTGAACTGGGCATATCAGTGCACACAAGACCCCAGATTCAGTGCCAAGTATGCACTGGGCATATTGGTGCACACCTCTCATTGCACATGGGAAGAAGTTGGACAGCTGGGATTTCAAGGTCATCTCAGGCACATGGTAAAGTTGAGGCCACCCTAAGCTAAATGGGACTCGAGTGAGTGGCCGGCCTTGCTAGAGTACCAGTGAGCCCAAGGCAATGGAGTCTTCAGGGACCAAAGGCATCAGAGGAACAACTATGTCAAGCAATACTGGCAGATAAGGCTTCGACCAAAAAGTCCCCTGGGCCTCCCTGAAGCTCACTGGGATTTGCTGACTTGCTTCACCCCACAGGGCCATGTGCTTGGCACCAGAACTCACTGCTGGGCAGAGACAGCTCAGCAGGTCAAAGTGTTTTGTGCACAAGCCTGATGACCTGAGTTCAGATCTTTGGAACCTGTGGTAAAAGGGGAGCACACATTCCTGTAAGCTGTTCTCTGACTCTCCCACAAATGCTGTGGTACATGTATACACACACACACACACACACACACACACACACACACACACACACACATGCAAAGTGGTTTCCATTTTAATAAAAGTTCCTTCATGGAAATAAGACCAAATCTGAGATCTGTGGAAACAAACTATTCCCTGGCTGAGAGGTCTATCCTCCATATTCCTGTTACTCACCAGGAAATGTCACTCAGGGTGTGGTAATGGATGTTAGACACATAGCCAAATGGGAAAGACTGTTGTGTGTCATACAGCAATATAGAGTCCTCGGAGGCTACTGCGAACACCATACGGTAGGGCAGGCTCACCAGCTCGGGGCTGGGCTCCTCTGAAGCTTTCTCTATAAGGGGTGGGGGGAAGCTGAGTGAGCTTACAAAGCCAGAATTCCCAAAGGAGAGAACCAGTTCTCACCAAGTTCTCTCCTCCGGGGAAGGAAATGCCAGGCCACTAAAAGCTAGTTTTCTGTAAACCATACAGAAGAATTCAGTCCCTGGGCTGGCGAGATGGATCAGCAGGTAAAGGCACCTGCTGCCAAGCCTGCCAACATGAGTTTGATTCACAGGACCCAAGAGTGGAAGAACCAAGGGCTACAAGTTGTCCTCTGTCCTGTACACATGCACTGAGCTCACAAGTGCAACCCCACATGCCTGCACATAATAATAAGATAAAAAAATAAAGAATTCAAGCTGATGTCACACACTTTTAATCCCAGTGCTCAGGAGGCAGAGGCAAGCAGATCTCTGTGAGTTTGAGGCCAGCCTGGTCTGCAGAATGAGTTCCAAGACAGGGCTGTTACATAGAGAAACCATCTCAAAAAACCAAAAAAGGAAAAAAAAATCCATTCTTACACTGACACGGGCATGAATGAGGTCTGACCAGTAATCAAGGACTTCTGAGTGTCATGAACTACGTACAGCTTTCTAACAGAAAGATGGTTTCATTTAGGAACTCTACCAAGTGATACTTTGCTTTTCATAGGTGTGTGTGTGTGTGTGTGTGTGTGTGTGTGTGTGTGTGCGCAGCTCTCATTCTTTAGCCCAGGCTGGCCTGTATTCCCCATACAGCCCAAATGAACCTGAAACTCAGGGCAAGCCTCCCGGGCCGGCCTCCCAAGTGCTGGGATAACAGGTGTGAACCACCATGCTCAACTAATGTTTTTAGAGCTCTGTCGAGTTACTGTATCACTTACATTAAGGATTTAAGTGTTTAAAGTAGTGTCTGCTTCTATCATGGAGAAAACAGGGACCAGATTTCCTTTCCCTGCTATACTGGGCCAAGTAGGTGCACAGCAGACTTCCAGAACTGGGCAGCAGGTGTCGAGACACAGTGATCCTGAGAGGGGGCCTGGCAGGCCCACAGAAGGCAGAGATTCCAGGCATGGCCTAGAAAACTCCCCACTGAAAGGCTGGGGGTCCTTAAAGCTAAGGAAGATCAGGTCATGGGGGAGTTGTCAGCTTAGCACTGACTGGAACAGGCTGAGGAAGAGCCTTGGAGGAGGCATGCACAGCAGCATGGGGTCCAGGGACACCTCACGGCCTGGGGCATCAGTTAATATGCAGGAGGCCTTGCCTCAGGGTGTAAGGTGTGTCATGAACCAGATGCTGCCTGGTCCTACCTAAAGAACTTTGAAAGTAACGTGACTGCATCCCAGAACGAACTTTAAGAACATTGACGAGAACTGAAAACCCAGCCCTGGTTTGAGGCAAACATAGTTTTTTTGTACAGCACAAGATTAAAAGTTCAGATACACAAAAGGAAGACGGAGGGATGAGGACAGTCCAGTGGGCAGGGGACTGGCTTAGCATGCAAGATTCAGGGCTTGATCCTCAGCACCACCCAAAACCAGGTGTGGTGGTGCATACCCGAGACCCCACTGTCAGGTCATCTTCTGATATGTGACAGAGTCTGAAGTCAACATGACCCTGTCCCAAAAAGCCACGTAACAACAAAAAGCTTAGTGAGAAAATAAGTTAGTACTGATGTACTTTCTAACATTGCTCTAGATGAGAAAGTATATTCTGAGAGGCTGTAGAGATGGCTCAGACTTGAGAGCACTGACTGCTGTTCCAGAGGTCCTGAGTTCAATTCCCAGCAACCACATGGTGGCTCACAACCATTTGTAATGGGATCCGATGTCCTCTTCTGGTGTGTCTGGAGCTATAGTGTACTCATATAAATAAAATAAATAAATATTTAAAAAAAAAAAAGAAAGTGTATTCTGGACAATGAGAGAAAAGACACACTATGCATCATGGGACACTACATATGAATATTATGTCAAAAAGACTAAGGGAAGGACTTGATGTTTTCACAACAAATATTATATTACATACACATCAAACATCACACGGCGCCCCCCCCCCCAGAGACTTAATTTTTACATGCTTCAATGAACAAAATTGAAAACCTTTGCCAAATCCACAGTTTTCCCCCACAGGACAGCCCATGGTTACCTGTTTCCGCCACTGGCCTCAATTCAAAATAGACAGGACAGCAGCGGACAGCAAGAGTGGCTTTTCCAGGGCACGGAAGGTGGGCAATCGGCCTGCGAGGGTGAGCGCAGGTTAGCAACAGGGACTGGTGCTCATCAGAGGCAAAAGGGGCAGGACGGGAACATTCCTGCATCTGTGTACCTTTTCAGGTGTTTTCTGGAGAACACGTAAGTGGTGTTTGTCACATTCTCACCAGACTCCATACATCCGGCTGCAGAGGGAGGAGAGGGGGGAGGGAACAAAGAAGAGCCAGCGTCATACTGTTTGCCAGCAAAAGCTCACAAGCCTTCCAGTTCAGCTTGCAAAACATCTTCCCCTCAAGCAGCAAACTCTGACAGGGCATCTGTGACAGAAACAAACACAGGTGCTCCCACTGTGTGGTCCCACTCTCTGCTTCAGTCCTACCTGCCTGTCACCTCCACCTGAGTGAGGACCCCAGGCGAGGGGCTTTCCCTTGTAAAATCCTGTGCTGGAGAACAGAGACAGATCTAGCCCTGTGGCTGGCTCCAGCTGCCAGCATGTGAGCCTCCAAGTCTGTTTCCAGCATTCAATTCTTGGCTGCCCATGCCTCTGAGCGAGTCTTCCAGTTGTCAGGAGACCTAGCCCACGCTGCAGCCTCCAGCAGGTCCTGTCACATGGTATAAAACATACGCATGCCATCTTTTTTTTTCCCCTCCTAAGATTTATTTTGATGTGAGCACACTGCCGCTGTTTTCAGACACACCAGAAGAGGGCATCAGATTCCATTATAGATGGTTGTGTGCCACCATGAGGTTGCTGGGAATTGAACTCAGGACCTCTGGAAGAACAGTTGATGTTCTTAACAGCTGAGTCATCTCTCTCCAGTCCCCTACACAGGCCATCTTTTTTTTTTTTGGTTTGTTTTTTCAAGACGGGGTTTCTCTGTGTAGCCCTGGCTGTCCTGGAACTCACTCTGTAGACAAGGCTGGCCTCAAACTCAGAAATCCACCTGCCTCTGCCTCTCAAGTGCTGGGATTAAAGGCATGCGCCACCACAGCCCGGCTACACACGCCATCTTAACATGTGACCATTCTGGAACAAGAGAGGATTCTAGTCTTGCTTTTGCATACAGCTATCCAAGACCCACCCCGTCCCACTATCCCACTGTGACAAGTCAAGGCTGGGTCCATCTACCTGGGCACACACAGGTACACACACTCCCACACAGTGGTCTTTTCATTTGTTGTAAGATTAGAGACTTTCACGTTCCCTATTTGCTTGTCCTGTCAACAGTTCATAAAAGTCAGCCCCTCGGGGCTAAGGCCTTGTTTTGGTCATTCTGTAGTACTTACTAGCAGAAAACCACTGTCCTCTGCAGAGAAGTACTAATCTGGGGGCTTTAGGGATTTTGGTTTCGGTGGGGAGGTTGGCTGGTTTTATTTGTTTTGACTTGTTTGTTTGAGCCAAGGTCTCATGCATCCCAGGCTGGTCTCGAACTTACTACAGAACCAAAGCCAGCCTTGGTCTTCTCCCACCTCCACCTGTCAAGTGTTGGATTATAAGCAAATACCACCATGTGTAGCTGACATATTCACCTAGAAATTCCTGTGATTTCCTTGCTAAGGAACTGCGTCTCAGCTGTGTGGCCCAGGGATTGGATGGTGTTACCAGGCTGCATTCTAAACAAGCCACATTCCCAGGGCAATACCCACCTCCTGCTCAGCTGAGCTGGGAACTGTTTTTTTTTTTTTTTTTTAACCTGAACAGAATAGCAACATCTAAATTGTCACCCAGTTTAGTTCTGCATTTGTGTGTTCCCCGGGCATCAGAACCTGTTCCTGGATGTAACCTGTACCTTGTCTTTACTAGCTCATTGATTTGTGGTGCTAGGGGTTGACCCGAGATGGGACAAGCACTTGACTAATGAGCTTCATCTGAGACCTCATTTTCCCTTTTAGGTTTTCTTCTTTTGTGTTTTGTTTTCTTGCCAATTGAGAAGGCCGCTGTACAGGATACATTGTATCAGGTGCCGCTTCCATTATGTGTCTACTGATTTAGTCAGCTACACTTTTACCATATGAAAGTTATACACTCCCAGCCAGGCCTGGGCTACACACCTATAATCCCGGCATTCAGGAAGCAGGGATAGGAGGATCAGAAGTTCAGGATCACTCTCAGCTACATACGTTTGGGACCAGCCTGAGCTACATGAGACCATGACTCAGAGAACAAACAGGATGTAGTCGGTTGGTAGAAGGTTTGCACCACCAGTCCGCTCACACCTGCACGAGCTGAAGTGTCACGGAACAGGAACAGAGACGTCCCTGTGGTGCCACCGCATCCCTGTATGTCACATGCCGTCAGACACACCTGGAGTGAGGAGCAAAGATCCATCTGGAGTAAAACTGAGTCTTCGGAAGAACGACTTCATGCTGTCATCGTGAAACATCCGGAAACTTCTTGCCTGTGGTAACGGAGCTTGAAGTCATTTGAAAGCAGCTCACTCTCCACAAAGGCTCACCACTTAGAACTGGCATGCCAACAAGGCATTCCAAGGGGAAGCCTCATCAGTTGACCCACAGGTCGTGTAAGTGCTGTGATTCAGCGGCAAGGATGCTCCCACGACTTGCCAGATCTCAAATGGCGAGATACTTTATGCTGGGCTGGCGAATGGCTGAGGCCAAGCCTGTCAACCTGAGTTCCCAGGACCCATACAGTGCATGGAAGGAACTGACTCCTGACCTTCATAAGCACACTGTAACGTGTGTGCATGTTCCTGTATGCACACTTGCACTCGAACACACACACATTCTTGCACATACTCACACATGTGCCCAAACACGAATACCACACATATATGCATATATACACACATACCAAAGACATACTTGTGTACGCACATAGCACACACACAACACATATGTGCACCTATGAAATAATAAGTACTTCCTACCTCTCCTTCCGGCCCTTGTCCAGAGAGCATCTTTGAAATGTTGAAAGCCACACGCTTCTTCTGGGTGCTATAGACCCGCAGCACCCTGAAGAGAGAGAGGTCTGAGTCCCATCCCAGCATGGAAACTGGGTCTCACACAGTAACAACCTACTCAAGTCTGCAGATGCACACCACCTCAGCTGGACCATTACAGATGACCAGACTTCACTGAGGAACGGAGAGGAGGCAACAGCTGTCTGAGCATGCCACAGAGGGGAAATAGCATGCAAATGTTTTTACTTCATTCCCCTTATGTATTTCCTCACTGAATAAACAGTTCAGCTCCTTATATAACCCCAAGGTCCAATCCCAATTTTTGAGCCATGAACATTTGGCCCAACGGCAACCTGTGTGACAATGATGACATTTGTTTTGTGAGGACAGTCTTATTCACAGGGCTTTATAGGATTAAGGAATGCCAGATATAGTGACTCACACCTGTGATTCCTGCACACAGAAGGCTGAGGCAGGGGGCTCACCATGAGTACAAAGCCAGCCTTGGTTATGGAGTGAAACATTGGAAAGCTGAGGCAGAGGGATGATCAGTAAGACATAGGGGTGCTTTTCTCACTTCCTAAAAGAGCAAAGATGGAAAACACCGACAAATGAGTCGGGCTCTCAAGTCACAGGCTTGTTCTGGGTGCTATAGACCCAGTTCCCAGAAACCAAACTGCTCTCAAGTGCCTCAGTGAGACATCAGAAAATGCACAGCCCTCAGAACATAACAGGAGCACTACAGTGAACAAATCCTAACCCTTACATATTGCTTTTATTTCAGGACCATATTAAATTCAATTTTTTTTTTTGTTTTTCGAGACAGGGTTTCTCTGTGTAGCCCTGGCTGCCCTGGAACTCACTCTGTAGACCAGGCTAGCCTCCAACTCTCGAACTCAGAAATCCGCCTGCCTCTGCCTCCCAAGTGCTGGGATTAAAGGCATGCGCCACCACCACCCGGCCTAAATTCAATTTTTAAATTAAAAGCAGTTGAGGACCGGGGGATCTAACTCAGCTGCTGAGCGCTTACCGAGCAGACAAGACACCTGAGTTCAGTCTCTAACACCGAATAACCAGGACATGCTGGAATCCTAGCACTGAGAAGGAAGAGCTAAGAAGCTAGCAAGTTCAAAGATAGCCTTGGCTAAGTAGAAAGGCCAGCCTGAACTTCATGAAACACTGTCTCAAAAACACAACAACAAAAAAGCAATAATGGGGAGCTGGGGAGATAGCTCAGTAGTCAGGAGCACTGGCTGCTCTTGCAGAGATTCAGTTCCCAGCACCACATGGTGACTCATAGCGTCTATAGCTCCACTTCCAGGGGATTTGACACCTGTCTTCTGACCTCTGCGCACTGTGAAAAATGCGCAGTGAACAGCCCGTCCGCTCCTCTGCTGGCCCGTTTCCTTGAGATCAAGTGTGATTCAGTTTATTTGATGTTAAAAAGCTCTTCCTGGGGCTGGAGAGATGGCTCAGTGACTGCTTTTCCAGAGGTCCCAGCAACCACATGGTGGCTCACAACCATCTGTAATAGGGTCTGATGCCCTCTTCTGGTGTGTCCAAAGAGAGCAATGGTATAATCATATACTTAAATAAATCCAAGAAAAAAACAAAAACAAACAAACAAACAAAAAAAAACCACTCTTCCTAACGGGGTGGAGAGCTAGGGTGGAGAGACTCATCGGTGGCTAAGAGCATCCAACGCCCTCTTCTGGCCTCGAAGAGTACCAGGCACACACCTGGTACAAAGCCGCACATGCAGGCAAACACAAGAGTTCTTTCTACATCAATTCACCCATCAATAAAGATTCACTGGTGTCAGCTCTGCACAAGGCACCTGGCCTAATTAGTCTCTAATTCCTGTCTTATCAGAATAAGCAGGTCAGAACAAGAAAGCCAAAGCTGGACTGTCAACCCCTTAGTAAGGTTGCGATAAAACATTTGCAAAAAACGTTCATGTTGCTTACAAACCTGTCACAACTCAGGGTCGCAATATATTGACCCAAAGGATCCCAGGTTACTCCTTGCACATAACTTTTATGCTCGTTGAAAATGGAAATCTTCTGTCCTACAAAGAAGCATGAGAAAGTTATTAACAAGAAGTCCAGGAGGCATGCTGCAGAAACCATAACTTCAGCACGGTCTCCTACTTCCAGTCCGCCATTCTGCAGGCAGTGCCAGAGAGGCTGTGTTTCAAACCCTGAGTCAGGCTCAGGAGATCCAAAGATCACTCCACACAACCCTGCCCCCATCGCAACTCTCAAGGGAGCCAGGCATGTACAGCAAGCATGAGGCTATGTGGGTTAGAGAAAGTAGGCGTGGTCCCGTTGGAGGACGTGTGTTCACTTCCTGCTGCCTGAGGAAGAGGTAGAACTCTCAGCTATCTCTCCAGCACCATGTCCGCCTACATGCGTGCTTCCCGCCATGGTGATAATGGATTATATCTCTGAACTGTAAGCCAGCCCCAATTAAATGTTTTCCTTTATAAGAGTTGCCACAGTCACAGTGTCTCCTCAAAGTGACAGAAACCCTAAGACAGGTAGGATGGGAGTGGGAGGGACAACATACACAACTAGAGAATCCCTCACTCCCAGCTTAGACACACAGTGGTGGCAATGTTGAGCTGCAGATGTGAAAGGGAGGAGTCAGAAATAAGATGAAAGGAAAACGAGGCACAGCAGTTAGAGAGCTTTGTAGGCAAAGAATGACACTAGCAAAGAGGAGGTTCAAGGGTTCAAGGCTAGCCTTGGTTACAAAGAGCTTCAAGGCAAACAAACAGAAGTTTAGAAAATATGACTGAAGAGTGACAAGTTAGGTCACAGATGAGGAAGGATGGGCGGGGCTTGAGCTGGAGAGATTAACAAAAGGCCCTCAGCAGGGAAGCCAGCAGCACAGAGCTTCCCAGACCAAAGGAAAACAGAGTTATGAAGCCTTAACTATGTATGTGCTCGTGCACGCGCACACATCTCATCTTGTAGCCCAGGCTGGCCTAGAATTCATTCTACAGTCCAAGCTGGCTTGGAACTCACCATATAGATCAGGTAGGACTCAAACTCCCAGCAATTCTCCTGCATCCTGAGTGCAGGGACTGCTGACATGAACTACTATGCCTGACTGTAGACGCTTGCTTCTGCGTTTGAGTTATTCTCAGCAACCTTTGGCCAGGGATTCTTTGCTGTAATCCCTCACCACTGTGTAACCGCACCCTGCCACTTTCAAGGCAGAAGATTTCTCTACTGTTTTCCAGATGCCTGCTCCTGCCTGGTCTCTCTCATCTTCCGTCTTAATGAGGCTGGTGTTCAGCACAAAGTGTCCCCATCTGTGACAGAGGCTCATCACAGTTGGATACAGACACACCAAGAGGGACTTAGACCTGAATTCATCTCCAAGTGCACATTTTTCTGCAACAAACATCAACTTGAAATTCTATTCATTTAACTTCATGCCTGTTTTGCTGATAAGAGGCGGCTTCTAGACCATACAGAACTACTGACTAGCCCAAAAAAATCACAGGCCACTCAGACTAGCACACTTCACTCAAACTAAGCAATAGTCAATAATTTAAGTCACCATTCAAAGGCCTTAATCATTTGAAAGCAAACAAAAAAGTAAGCCCAAGACCCCAGGTTCAGTCCATGATAGCATGGGAAAGAAGACCCTCCTCCCCTTCCTCACCCAGCCCACTATCACCCCAATTCCACACCCACCAGTCACCAGCACTGCTAACTCACAATGCCCATGACGCAGCCCAGGGGACATGCTTCAACCTAATTCTAATGTGCTGTCCTCCCTTCTCCACCTGAGGGCAGCTCTCTCCTTGAAAGACTTTCCAGAAGGTTGGCTGGGATTAAGAAAGGTTGGATTGAAAGGCGGGCTCAGGGGGGCCTATGTAGGTCCCAAGTAAACTAACCAGTCAAGGGAGGGACACGAGGAAGGACAGGGATGGCAAGCACAGGAGTCTGAGAAGCAGCTGTGAGTCCGAGGCCGGGAAACTTAAAGGTGGAAACCAACTGATCTCAGGCAGCGGTTTGTCTACAAGGGTAAGATGAAGAAATGAGTCAGAGAGACATAGGGGCTTAGAATCACAGGGAGAGGTAAGTTAGACAAACAATTTGCTCGAGGGAGCATGGTGCTCTTGAGTGCTTAGTCCCCAACTGGTCAAACTGTTTGGGAAGGATTAGGAGGTATGGACTTGTTAGAAGAGGTGTGTCACCAGGGGTGGATTCTGAGGTTTTAAAAGCTCAGGCCATTTGCCATTCCCAGTTAGTGCGCTCTCCCTCGCTGCCTCATGGTTGTGGAACAAGACGTGAGCTCTCAGGAACTGTGCCAGCACCATGCCTACCTGCCTGCCTAACACCATATTCCCCCCACTACGATGTTGATGGACTCTAACTCTCTAAAACTCTGAGCTCCAAATCAAACACCTTGTGATTTGAATATGCATGGCCCACAGGAAATGGCACTATCAGGAGGTGTGGCTTTGTTACAGAAAGTGTGTCACTGTGGGCGTGGGCTTTGGGATCCTACCTCATGCTCTATTCCACTTCCTGGTGTCCCTTTACTCATTGACCCAAACATTTTGTATTTTTGCTTTCTAAGCTTGCTACACTTGATCCAAACACTCCTCCTAAGAGTGAGCCATAGGACAGAGTCTAAACTTAGTTGAGCTAAGATCTTCTGTCACCAGGCAGTGGTGGTGCACGCCTTTAATCCCAGCACTTGGGAGACAGAGACAGGCGGATTTCTGAGTTCAAGGCCAGTCTGGTCTACAGAGTGAGTTCCAGGACAGCCAGGGCTACACAGAGAAACCCTGTCTCGAAAAACCAAAAAAAAAAAAAAAAAAAAAGATCTTCTGTCAATGCAATTCATCTGATGAATCTCTTCACCTCAGCCTCAGGTAGACGCTTAGAACAAGGGCAAAGAAGCAGCCACATCCTTCACCAAGATATCAGAATAGTCTCTAGGCACAAACTAAAAGTATTCTCCTCTGAAACATCTAGAGCCAGGACCCCACAGTTCAAATCACCCTCAGCACCAATGTCTTCCACATTCCTATGAGGATGGCCCATTAAGCCCCACTAAAAGCATTCAACTGTTTCCAAATCCAAAGTCACAAAATCCACATTCTTCCAAACAAAAGCAAGGTCAGGTCTATCACAACAATATACAAGTTCCTACCACCAACTTCTGTCTTAGTTAGGGTCTTACTGCTGTGAAGAGACACCATGACCAAGGCAACTCTTATAAAGATGAACACTGGGGCTGGCTTACGATTTCAGAGGTTCAGTCCATTATCATCTTGGTGGGAGGCATAGCAACATGTAGGCAGATTTGGTACTGGAGGAGCTGAAAGTTCTACATCTTGATCCAAAGGCAGCCAGGAGGAGCGCCTCTTTTGCACTGGGCAGAACCTGAGCATAGGACCTCAAAGCCCACCCCTGCAATGACACACTTCCTCCACCAAGGCCACTAATAGTGCTACTTCCCATGGGCTTGCATACTCAAACCACCTTGTACTTCCTTTTATAAGTTTCCTTGGTCATGGTGGTTTATCGCAGCAATAGAAAAGTAACCAAGACACAGGCTCATAGACCCTGGGACCTGAGTTCCTCAAGTAAAGACTTTGAAAGACAGAAGGAGACAAGGGTGGGACTTGTCACTTGGCCGACCCTGGCAGAATCAAATAACGAAGCTCTGGGCAGCGCCTGGATTTCAGCCTCTGCCAAAACTGTTCCCAACTCAGCATCCCTAACCTGCTATCTCCTTCCTCCTCATAAGAGCAAAAATAAACCACTTGGTCTGGAGCTCAGCAAGTCAGAGCACTAACTGCTCTCACAGAGGACCCAAGCTTGGCTCCTAGTACCCAGACTGGGAGCCTGACAACTGCCTGTAACTCCAGTTCCAGGGGATCAGACAACCTGTTCTGGATTTCATGGGCATAGCACGCGAGTGTACGTACATATACATATAATGTTAATAAAATAAATATACAGCTCACCTTTACTGGCATCCCATATGATTACTGTGTTATCCACAGAGGCAGAAGCCATCAAATTCCCATCTGTTGCCCAGCAAATATCATACACATCTTCTAAGTGGCCCCTAGAGCCCAAAGACAGAAGAAATAATATTATTACTGCAAAAAGAGAAAAGCTATCCAAGAGTTCAAAGTCACCGGGCAGTGGTAGCACATGCCCTAGGGAGGCAGAGACAGAAGGCTCCCTGAGTTCAAGGCCAGCCTAGTCTACAGAGTGAGTTCCAGGACAGCCAGGGATACACAGAGAAATCATGTCTTGGAAAAACTGGGAGAAAAAGAGAGTTCAAAGTGTAGAACCACACATTGGAATTAGACTCTGTGAATTTTCCGTGGAGCTGTGTCAGCACTGCTATAAACAGCTGTTTTCAGGGACATCTGTATCTAATGTGAATCAAAGGACATCCCAAGCCCACACTGGTAATCCAAGCTCTAGGAAGCTGAGAGAATAGGGAGGAGTATTCAAGGCCAGCCTGGGCTACACAGCTAGACTAGCCTGGCTCAAAAACCAGACGGGGGAAGACTTGATTCTTTTTTACCAAAGGAAACTTCATAATAGAAAGAAAAATCTATTTTTATCATGTTTTTATTCTTTACTGTCTTATAAAGTAGGCAAAGGCTTTAAGTGAGGTACATAAACTATTAAGGTATTCAGGCTGTAAAGAAGAGTCGCTTAGGGCTGGAACTTAAATCACGCTGGCTGCTCATCCAGAAGTCAGGTTTTGTGACACCAGCTCCGAGGGATCTGCTGCCTTCTTCTGCCCTCTGCAGGTGCTCACACACACACCACTCTCAGTCATAAACTAAACAATCACGAAGTAGAATAACCAGAGTATACCTTTAATTCCAAATGAATTGCGGCCACAGTCCCTCCCCTGTTACCTCAGAGTCTTCACCACAGTCCAGTTCTCCTTATTCAGCTGAGCCTCGTCTTCATCTTGAAAGGCGGTCTGCTCTGGCTCCTTGCTGTCATTCATCTTCCACAACAGAATAACGGCATCTGTGAGGTAAACCAGTACAGTGTGAACCGACCCTCCCATGCCCTCCTTCGCTTCTGGAGTTTTAGGGTGTTCTGGATGTCTTATGTTGCTCAATGGACTCTCTGGCCATGAAGAGCCACTCACTTCCAAGAATATGGACAGTGCACTGCTGTGCATGGCGGTGCATGCCTGTAATCCGGCCCTTGGGAATCTGAGGCAGGTGGATCCGAAGTGCAAGGTTACATGGTGAGTTTGAGGTTATCCTGGGCTACATGAGACCCTACCTCAGAAAAAGAACTTGAACAGGACTAGTAAATCTGCCTACTTCACTAGTGCATCTAAGGTCACATCTAGGGTCACCATACACATAAGAAAGCTTCTGGGCAAAATAACTGACCGCACTGAGAAACTAGAGAACAACTTATAGATGGCTGGTCAGGAAGAGGAAAGGCAAGGGTCTGCAGATTGTGCCTGTGGAGCTCCATCCTGGTGCACACCCACCTCGCAGTGCCCCTGTGAGGACCGAGTGTAGGGGTCTGCGTAAAGCACTTACAGCTCTGTGGCTCGGACACAGTGAGCCACATATTACATCACCGTATCGTATGGACACATCAGACATCTTAGCCTGACATAGCAATGGTCTGAACCTAACGATTTCTCCTGAGGTGACTATAGGCTCACTGTGTAACTCCATCCTTTTAGCATGGCCAGAAAGGACAGTGAACAAGGGAGCAGGAAATATAGACAAAAAAAGCTCACTCAAAGCTACCTGGAACCCTAGCTACATAAGCTCGCCATGGAGCCTGCTAAAGATGAGATGACTAGACAGGTCTCCACGAGCCGACTGAAGGCAGGTTTCGGTCTTCAAGGTTAAGGGACTCTGTACATGGTGGCCCTAGGGCCACTTCATAGGAGACAACCTAAAGCTCCCTCAATGCTGTTCCACAGAGTGAACGTGTGAATGCATGCACATCACATGCGTGCATAATGCATTCATGTTCACGCTCACACCCACATATTCTGGGCATTAGGGCACAGAACGCAATTATTCCTCTTTTTCCAAACAAAAACTAAGGTTTTACTTCCTACTGTTCCCTAGAGTATTTAATGTATGAAATAAGGAATACTACTTCTGTATTCGTTTATCTCATTTAAACACAGGTGCACAATACAAATCAATCTACCTCAAACAGGCACAAATTCTGAGAACATTGCCAAAGCCCATTAATTACACAGAGATGCAGTGATGACTCTGATAACCAGACAAGCCCCTGGGATGCTGACAGATCTATCACACTCAACCAGCCTGCAGGGGGCAAATGGAAAAGGGGCTATTTTCAGATATATCTTCTGAGTTTAATGCTGTGCCCTTCATCTTCCCACTCTGACATACTCTCCCAAAATGTTATGTGTTAAGTGATCTGAAAGGCAGAAGGAGAAATAGATATGACCAGCTCAGATCTCATTGTCTGATTTTCTTTCCTTGAAAAGAAAGTTACTATTTAGCCAGGGCTCACCTTGAATTCTCAGTCTCCTGTCTCAGCCTCCAACATGCCATGATCACTGGCCTGTGTCACCCCCAGCTCAAATGTCACTATTAGACTGAAGATGCTAAGAGTCAGGTTAAAGGATTGTTAAATACAATACTTACCATCTCCTCCAGATGCTAAAATCTCCCCAGTTGGAGAAAAGCGTACAACATTGACAGCTTTGGTGTGCCGAGCAAGATTGGAGAGGAATTCCACGATGGCTTTCCCATCTGGCCCCTTCTCCACCTTCCAGATCTGTGGACAGCAAAGCATACATTGCAGAAACACACTAGCCACAAGATAACTACTTATTTTCTGGTAGAAAATGTAATTTCCTTTTTGAAACTTTGTAAATCGAAGGAAGTATTAGCAAAAATGCAAACCATCAGTCCCAGTACCTGCTATTCCCCCCTTCCAGTTCTTTCGAGAGCAAACGGAGCTATGCTCAGTATTACTATTTTGAAACAAGGTCTTATGTAGCCCAGGCTAGTCTCAAACTCACTACTGCTGGGAATCTCGAACTTCGGCTACTCCATCTCTACCTTATGGGTATTGGGGGTACATGCCGGCACCACAGAGTTCTTCCTAGTTTAGTATTCTAAAACACGATAACCCACTTGTAACAATGTAGCAAATATTAATTAAGAAAGCTCACCTTCCCAGCATTCCTTGCTTACCCCAGGCCTGAGAACTTAGCATACTGGACTAGGTGGCAAACCGACTTGAGTTGCTGCCTTCAGTTTTAAACAAAGGAATGAAAACTTGCGCTCCACGTAGAACCTCCCTGTATCCTCCCGCCTGTCCATTTACCCTGACGGCGGTGTCCACCCCCGCGGATGCCAGCCTGTGGATCCTCCAGGCTGTCCCATGCTGGAAGTCCAGGCTGTACACTGGCTCCTTGTTGTGCCAGGCGATTTCACACGTGATCACTTTCATCCTCCAGAGTCTCTGCCAGGCAAAGGGAGGCTGAAAAAGTTAACAAAGAGTTAAACAGAGACCTGGAACAGCAAGGGCGAGCCGGGTAATCAGCACAGAAGCTATTGGCGACGCTGACGGCGCAGACATCTGCAATCTTTAGCTAAAATGCTCGCGCAGGCAGAGACTTCCACCAGTGTACGGTTCCGGAAGAGAAAGAAACCAAACACCCCAGATGGAAGCGAGGCCGGGCAGCACAGAGCATCGCCCCGAGGTGGGGTCTTAGGGACCGGTACCGGGGTACGGGCAGTCATCCCGGGGAGCGGCAAGGGAGGGGGTTCGCGGGGAAGGCGCGGGTGCGGGCGGCGCAGCCCGGCCTGGCGGGAGGCGCGCGAGTCCGGGTCCCAGTGGGGACTGCGGCCTGGGACAAACTGGCCTCCGTCTGCGCCCGCGCCGAGATCAGGACCCGCGGCCCCGGCGAGCAGCTGCAGCCCGACCCAAGCCGGAGGCGCGGAAACCGGGTAGCAGCAAGGAACTTACCTGCGGCGACTCGGTCCACTCGGAGCCGCCACCTCCCGCAGCTTCCCGCGCGCCGCAGGCCACGCCTCCAGTCACGCCTCTTCGAGGGCGGAGTTTCAGGGGGCGCTCCTCCTCCGCGTGGGCGGGGCCGTCACAAGACAGAGTCTCATGTAGGGAGGTTCCAGGGCATCCCTCCTCCTTGTGGGCGGCACTCTCGCCGGACCGTGGCTTCCGGTGGGCGGGGCTCTGGACTCCTCTCTTTCCCGTGGGCGGGGCTATTGCGGCCCGTGGCTCCTGCTGGGCGGGACCGGGAGTCCTATCCCCGCGCCTCCGCCGAGCCCAGGCTGGCCCAGCGTTGGCATGCTAACCCGAGTTGTGGGATGTCCTACCTACCACGCGAGAGTGCCACTTGCTCAGCTGACAGATCTGCCCGCCGGGAATTTACAGTCTACAAAGAGCAGCCAGCTGATAGCGCTCAAGCCAACAGCAGCAGTTCTGTCACCAGCCCCTGCCGGTGATCTACAGCACTCCTCCGGAGGACCCTAAGCCCAAGGTTATCCTCAGCTACAGAGAGTTCCAGGCCAGCCTGGACTACTTAAGACTAAACAAAACCCAAGATATATAACATCTCTTAAAGGACAGATGGGAAACTTTGAGACTCATCCAATATAACCAAGTAAGAGTCACCCACACAGTGAATATTTGAGAGCTGTCCTGCTCCACCAAATATCCAAAAATGACCTCTGGGGTTTCAAAATGTCAATAAAAGAGCAGTGTCTTTGCTGTCTCTTAGTGATGTGAAGGAAGCCTAGAATGGTTGTTATGATAGTAATCCCAAACACTCTGGAGGTGGAAGCAGGAAGAGGATCAGGAGTTCAGGGTCGTCCTTAACTACTCAGCAAGTTTGAGGCTGGGCTGGGCTAAATGAATGTATAGGAAACCACATAACTCCCATTCCAGTTATGTAATGGTTAATTTATCCTCCATGACCTTCAATAATTCACATACTTTTAAGATTCTTGTCTCCTATGGCTTTGACTTCTTACAGGCCAGCATATGAAAGTTAAGTTTTTATAAAGAATAGATAAGAGCTTTGGTTAAGGGTCTGGGTTCAGTTTCCAACACCTACATGGTAGCTCATGACCTTTTAATTCCAGTTCCAGGAGACCCAACACTCTTTTCTGACCTCCAACAGCACCGGGCACATATATGGTGCACATACATACAAGCAAAACTCAAGCACATAAAATTCGAAAGTCTAAAAACATTAAATTATAAGTAACCTCAGAATTTTGTTATGCCTTTTTTTTTTTTTTTTGAGACAGGGTCTCTTGTATCCCAACCATTACGTAGCTCTCAAACACATGATGTTGCCTGAGAATAACCTTTAAATTTCTGATTCTGCCTACTACCTTCAGAGTGCTGGAATTACAGGCATGCACCACCATGCCTGTTTATACACGGTTGATTTATACACCAGGGCCTTCTCCTTGCTTCCTGAGTTGAACTACATCCTGCCCAAGTTATATCTTTAACATTAAAAATATAGAATAAGGAGCTGGGGAGATGGCTCAGTGGTTAAGAGCACTGACTGCTCTTCCAGAGGTCCTGAGTTCAATTCCCAGCAACCACATGGTGGCTCAAAACCATCTGTAACGGGATCTAACGCCCTCTTCTGGTGTGTCTGAAGACAGTTACAGTGTTCTCAATTAAATAAATAAATTAATCTTTTTTAAAAAATACAGAATAAGTTTACAACAAAATAAAAATATACAAGAAAGGATCAACAGCAAAAAAAAAAAAAAATACAAGTATCCATTCTTGATGCACCATATGGAAACTTTGTGACAGAAAGCAACGTAATCTTAACGTAATTACCAAATCACCAAAATGTTTCTCAGTGCCATTTTGTCTAAAAACTCTTTCAGCAGCATCAGAAAATCCAAGCCATTACCATCTGAATTATTAACATGGGTCACACACAGCTTCCTGGTTTGCACTTGAGGAATGTATTCTTAAAGTTGTGTAAAGACTCCTCTTCCTTTTCTGGAGCCCAGTGCTCTGAAAAGCCAGAGTTCATCAGTTTTTCAGTCTTCATGGAAAAGTGGTTTGTTAGCTGCCAGTTCTGCAAATACGCTTGTGCTCCAAATGTCAACCACAACAGTGTGAGCAGTTAATCCCAGCAGTACTTCTGGAGACCATACCATAGTTATTGCCTCATATGTGTATATGCATATATATATATATACACACACACACATATATACATATATATATGTGTGTGTACGCACATATGCATATGTAAGTGTATATACATATATAGAGTCACATATATATGTATACATACAGACACTAGAGTATATAGTGTATATATACACATACACACACACATATATATACTCCTATATATAGGAATATCTATTAGTGTATGTACATGTACATACATATATATGTACTCTAATATATACACACACATATATATATATATACACATAAATGCATGTGTGTGTATTTATTTATTCTAGAATAGGTTCTTTCTAGGAGCTCTGAAAAAACAAACAAGATATGCCCACTTGTGTAATAGTGGCACCACTGCTATTTGGACAGTTGTCACAAAAAGGTGTGCCCATGTTTTAGTTACTTTTCTATTGCTGGGAGCAGACACCATGACGGAGGAGACTTATAAGGAGACTGAGAGCTAACTGGGAATGGTGTGGGCTCTTGAATACTGTTTAGCTGAACTGACCGTGTAAAACTGCCTTATATTTGGTTTTGTACCCACAGACGAATGCTACCTCTACAACATTCCAAACAAGTGGCAGATGAGTGACCTGCCCAAAACCAGGCATTTACGTTATCCCCTCTCCAGCTTAGGGAATATTGCAGGGGTGGGGAGTGCAGTGTCAGAGCTAGATGACAAGAGTGCTGTGAACTGTCAGCTCCTGAGCATGACAAAGATGCCATGGCCATCACCTGTAATGAGTATGCACAAGAACAGTCCAGTCGGTAGTCAAGCATGGACTGGATTGGGATGGAGCCTCTGCAGGTCCCACTCCTGATTGCTGGACTATTTTTTTAATGTCAGGAAAAGAGGAAATCCTTACCATTGGTTGCATATCCAGTGGTGAGCCCATCAGGCACAAAATAGTCTCAACCCAGTGGTCACACAGATGGCCCTGGCTAATTTAAATTCATCACAAAGCAAAACCAAAATGTGACTCCAGGAAAGGAAGTGGTAGGACTGAAGAGGACTTGGTGAGGATGGCAAGAAGATGAAAAGAATCAGAATTACTACACACAGGCATGACATTGTCAACAAAATTAGTGATGAAAGCTCAGTTTCATTTGTCATCAATATAGAGTGTGGAGTTTTAAAGTCTGTGAAAAACTCTTCTTGGGTAACAAACACAATGCCCTGACAGTGGCACACTTTTTGCCTTTGCCTCTGTGTGTACACATGTATGTGCATTTATGTGGCAGATGGAGGGCAACGTCAGTGTTGCTCCTGAAGTGATGGCCGCCTCCCTCCCCTCCTCTCCCCCTCTCAGACAGGACCTCTCATCCTGGAACTCAAATAGGCTATGCTGACTGTGCCTGGGCTTCCAGGTACTAGGTGTCACACCACACCTGGATCTTTTTAGGAGGGTTCTGGGGACTGAACACATGTCCTCATGCAAATGCCAACTCAAGTACCACTCCAGTCCTGGTGCAAATGACTCATGTCAAGTGAAAAGCCCATGAACTGACATGACAGGAAAGAAGTCTGATTATTTCTTGAAGCCCACAGGAAAGAATGCAGTAGATACAACCTGCTGTCTTGTATAAGCACATCCTTTTGTTATTTTGTAGTTAGTTATTATTTTTATTATTATTTTGGGTTTTTCTGTGTAGCCTTGGCTGTCCTGGAACTTGCTCTTTAGACCAGGCTGAGCTCACCACCACTGTCCAGCGTGTAAGCACATCTTGAAAAAGAACTTCATTTGGATGATAAGATTTTTAGCAGACAAATTCCAGTTTCAATACTACAATCTTTCTTTTGCTTTTGGTGTTTTGATGGCCACTTTGACCATGCTTTGTGTCTACCCTTACAGAGAACCCTAGGACTACCTACAATTTTTTCTATTTTGGAGTCTTGCTTAATTAGCAGCAGGTAACAAAAGATCCTGATTTATGGTTTGCAATGACAGCTAATTTGACTTTACCCCCATTCAATTTTAAGACAAGAGCCATAAAATTAACAATGTAACCAAGAGACTTAATTCTGAGAAGCAATGGATGTAGTTACACTTTCCTGTAAGCTGATATTCATGGTTTTGGGAATGTGGTTCAATACCCTCCCACAAAAAACAAACAAACAAACAAACAAACAAAAAACCCCAACCAAATTCAAGGATATAGGAATTTACTCAGGAATCCACTGAGACTCTCATGTCAATGAACTCATCTATGAGCTAAAATAAGTGTTTTCCACATAGCTGTCTGGATGTACAAGGTTCTGGTTTCATTACAGCAGCAAAGCAACCCAATAGTAAAGAGCAGGCAAAGAAAAAACCAGAAACACTGCCAGACAGTTAGTGGTGCATGCCTTTAATCCCAGGCAGGTTGGAGGCCAGCCCAGTCTACACGGTGAATTCCAAGACAATCAGAGCTGTTACAGAGACACCCTGTCTCAAAAAACAAACATGAAACAAAACAGAAGGCAACACTTCAATCTAAGGAGAAGCACACTTGGCATTTTTGCCTATACATCAAATTAGAGAATCAGTATGATGTAAGGATTTGGGAACCCACTCATGTACTTGCTACACCAAGAAATATAAATGCCTGCAACATTCTTTGAACATCATACGGTAAAATGTACACATGCTCTAACCTTATTTGTATTCCTTGCAAAGAATCTACACTGCAGATGTATTAGAAAAGGAAATGTAGAATTTGTTCATTTGTGTGGTCTTTCTGACATATTAAAAGACAAAGCAGGGCTGGAGAGATGGCTCAGTGGTGAAGAACACTGACTTCTCTTCCAGAGGTCCTGAGTTCAAGTCCCAGCAACCACATGATGGCTCACAACCATCTGTAATGGGATCCAA